ACATATTTGTAGATGTATATGGCATTTGGAGCAACTTTAGAAATTCGTAAAAAATCTAATTCTAATCATAATCAGCTTAAACTTTCTATGCAAACTAGGAACATGTATATAAATTAGAAAAGAATTATAAAAGTGGGGAATTCTTACATAGCCATTTTTGATGACATTTGACCAAAGACCGCATACTATAGTACAGGGTATTTTGTCCAAATTTTAAGCAACTTTATGAATTCATTAAAAGTCCAAATTTGACTGGAATCAGCTCAAACTTTCAACACAACATAAGAGCATGTATATGTATCAGAAAAAAGGAAATTCAAATCTAAAAATTTTTGACATACATGTAATACACCTTATACTATAGCACAGGATGTTTTGTCACACTTTGGATTAGTTTTAAAAACCCACCATCAAAATGCTGAGCACTATGCCAAAAACCTGTGGGAAACCCTGTGCATACCACTTGCAACATTTCATTTCTTTCCCTTAGTGTGCAATGTCTTTGTCTACATGTATAATTTTATTTGATCTCCCTTTACCTCTCTCTTTCCCCCTCTTAAGATGCACTACATACAATCTTCAGCAATCTCCCTGAATATACTGTATAGCCTATTCTCATAAACTCTCTTTACTCTCTTTATAGCTTCACTATTCTACATGTCTCTTTCTCTGCATCTTTCTCATCTTTGCTCCTGTATGACTCTATCCTACATTCCTTTCTCTCTACCTTCCTTTTTACATCTACATGTGTAATAATTATGTTTACATTTAGCACAGAATGTATGCCACATACAGGCCTACATGTATGTCACTGATTCATTAAAGTATACACGTAGCTTATGAAATAAAGTAATTGCCATTACTCTTATATGCACTGAATAGCATTAATTAGAGCTTCCCCATTGATTACAATCATCTTTGCTCTTTAATCTGATTTAACATTACAATTCACTGCTGCGCACCTCCCCTCTTTGCCATTTTTCGTTCTCTATCTTTTTAGTGTCTTTGTTTCTCTCAAGCTTAGGATTTATGCTTACTAAAAGTATCAAGTATTTCATTTAAGTAAGGTCGATTATATGTTTTCTCATTTTATGTTTCTCTGTATGATTATAGTCTAATTCAAGTATCAAGCTATGTAGTATCAGGAGCACAGGACTATACATGCATGACAAACATTGTATTGTTGTATGTTATTTTTTTATTATTTCTAAATATACCATAGGGCACCTTTTATTCGAGGGCTATAAATTTCGTGGATTTCGCGATTTTTTAAAGATTCGCAAAAATTACTTTCGCAAAAATCAAATTAATACGGTACAAAATGGCAGACGGCATAAATTCGCGAAATTAAATCCACAAAATAAAAATCCACGAAATTTTATAGCCCTCAAAAAAAGGCGCCCTACGGTAATCATTTGCTACTACTATGCAGTGAAGGCATGCAATATGAAGCAGTTCATAAGGCAAGGTCCTTTCACTTGATCCAGGGATGAGAGATTTAGCCATACAGAAGTTGCATAATGATAAAAGATTTAGTATGCTAGCAGTGCAATTCTGATTGTTGTTTGGTATTAGCAACTAGGTACGCACAATTACTTGTTATGAAAAATAAAAGTACTAAAATTGAACTAACAACTAGAGATAATCAGCTAAACATACTTTCTGCATACTTAATGAGGGGGTGAGGCTGAAGGTTTTAGCTGAAAACTCCAAGGTTTTACATCACAAGTCCCAGAAACTGCAATGATGTTCCTAATACAATAATGAGCTAGTGTTACAGCAATACAGCAAGGTTGAAAGTTCATATATGGCTAGTTATAGGGACCAGATAAACTAAAATTGTCATCCAGAAAACCTGTTTCTGAAGTTTTATGGTTTCAATATTATTGTTTATAAAATCAATTGTGCTTCCACATATACCATTCATATAAAGGGATTTAATAATGTTGTTTTCACCTATTTTTTGTAGCTACACAAAAGAAAGAAATCTGAAAAACATGAAACCAAAAACCAAGTAATGATATGTTTGGGTTTTATAGTTTCAAGTTTTACCTTATAGTTTGTTGCATATGTACACAATATACATGTTTGGGTTTTTGGTTTTGTAGTTTTCAGGTTTTACCTTATAGTCTGTTGTATATGTACACAATGTACGTATTTGGGTTTTTGGTTTTGTAGTTTTCAGGTTTCCAATGTACATGTTTGGGTTTTTAGTTTTGTAGTTTTCAGGTTTCTACCTTATAGTCTGTTGCATATGTACACAATGTATGTGTTTGGGTTTTTGGTTTTGTAGTTTTCAGGTTTCTGCCTTATTGTCTGTTGCATATGTACACAGTGTACATGTTTGGGTTTTTGGTTTTGTAGGTTTCAGGTTTCTGCCTTAGAGTCTGTTGCATATGTACACAGTGTACATGTTTGGGTTTTTGGTTTTGTAGTTTTCAGGTTTCTGCCTTATTGTCTGTTCTATATGTACACAATGTACGTGTTTGGGTTTTTGGTTTTGTAGTTTTCAGGTTTCTGCCTTAGAGTCTGTTGCATATGTACACAGTGTACATGTTTGGGTTTTTGGTTTTGTAGTTTT